TGTTACTGATAGAGACGCAATACAGGAATCAGCAAGGTCAAAAAAAGGATCAACCCTCAGATTCACAGCAGACCATCAGACGAAACCCTCCAAACCCAAAAACAATGGTGGGATATAGTTTAATCACTTAATCACTTAATTACTTAACTTCCCATTAGTCGTTGATTTGCTCGAGCAGGCACCAGTAACGTCTCCTTTTGTCCCTGTCGCGTGCTAGTGTAGCCCAATGGCATCTGTTCACTCCGGGAACATGAAGGGCCTCAAACCGATCGTTCATGATCTTGACGAAGAAGTCTGACCATCTGGAAGGTGGGCGGCCATGCGGTCTTTTGACATCCCGTGGAATCCAGTCGGTGACAGCTCTAGTCCAGCGGTCATCTTTAAATCTCATTATGTGACCAGCCCATCTGATTTTCGAAACCTTGGCAAATGAGACAGCGTCCCTGATTCTTGATCGTGGACGGATGTCAGAACTCCGGATTCTTTCTCTCATTTGAGTGAAACGTTATATTCCAAGCATAGCTCTTTCTATTCTTCTTTGGGAGACCTGAATAGCGTTCTCATCTTGTTTGCATAGGGCCCAGGTCTCTGAGGCATATGTTAATGCAGGAAGAACAGTGGAATCAAAGAGATGTGCCCGGAGCCGGAGGTTCTTCATCCTCTTAGCTATTTCTTCGACGTTCTTGAAGGCGTTCCAAGCCGCTCTCTTCCTCCTGAGCAGCTCGGGTGCCAGGACATTTGTCATGTTGACCTCTCAACCTAGGTACACATAGCTGTTGCATTCAGAGATGGTCATTCCGTTGAGAGCGAATGGGGCGTCAGGAACAAGGCTGTTTCTCATAAACATTGTCTTTGTAAGATTCAGCTGTAGTCCGACCTTTCCACACTCACGGTCAAAGTCGGCCAGCATTTGTGCCGCTTGGCTGATGTTTGGTGTTATTAAAACAATGTCATCAGCAAAGCGGAGGTGGTGTAGTTGCCGACCATCTATCTTCACTCCCATTCCTTCCCATTCCAGTAGTCGCATGATGTTCTCGAGGGTGGCACTGAAGAGTTTCGGTGAAATGGTATCACCCTGCCGCACCCCTCTCTTGACATCAACGATCACTTCTTTGTAGAATGGTGAGATCCTGGTAGTGAATCTGCAATACAGCTCACGGAGGATCCTGATATATTGGGCTTGAATGCCCTGATTGGGTAGAGCTTCAATGACCGCTTCCGTCTCAATAGAATCAAAGGCCTTCTTTAAATCAATGAACGTTAAACAGAGCGGCATTTTGAACTCCCGAGAAACCTCAATGAGCTTGGTTTTTGTGTGGATATGGTCGATGGTGCTGAATCCTTTGTGGAACCCGGCTTGTTCGCATGGTTTTCCTTCATCTAGTGTTCTGCCAATCCTATTTAGGATGACTCGAGTGAACAACTTGTAGATGAAAGACAATAGGCAGATCGGGCGATAGTTGCCAATGTCATGGATGTCTCCCTTCTTGAACAGTAGTACGGTCCTGCTGGTTTTCCATTGGGACGGAACCTTGCATTCAGACAGGTAGCGAGTGAAGAGCCGAGCCAGTGTATTGATGAGTACTGACGGCAGGTTCTTCAGGTGTTCAGGTCTGACCTTCTCTGGGCCAGGTGCTGTTTGTTTCTTTACCGACGAAATGGCATGTCGGATTTCAGAAGGGAGAACGTTGGGAACGACATATCCATCCTGTGGAATTTGGTATGTCGGCAAGTGGACATGGCTATCAAAGAGATTTGAGTAAAAGTCATGAATAATCTTCTCCATTGCCATTCTGGAGGATGTGATGGATCCATCAGGACGTCGGAGGGCAGTCATCTTGGTCTTGTAGTTGGCGAAGGACAGGCGGGCATTATGAATACTTTTCCTGGCTTCTGCCGCATCTACCAGTACTTCTGCTCTTCTCTCTTTGAGGTCTTCCCTGATCGCATCTCTGCACTGCTTTGCGAGCCGGGACGTTAGCTTGCGGTTGCCTGAGGCAAGCGCCATACCAAGCTGGTGAATTAGCTCAAGAGTTTTCGAAGATAGGCGATTTTTTGTGGCTCTCTCTTGGCGTTTCTCGCACATTCATGGAGGTGCTGAACCAGTCGATCTTATTCCTCGTCAATGTTGTCAACAATGGCATCTTCCCATGTTGTCGCAATAGTACCAAAGAGTTCCCAGTTGGTGGTCATTCTGAGGGTTCACTTTTTGAACTTTGCAGCCCTTTCTCCCCGCACTGTGAAGTAGAATTTTGCACGAAGGAGACGATGGTCCGATCCCGTTCAAAATTTTGAGACAACAGCGACATCAGTCAGGCAAAACCGTCGTTTGAATATGATGTGGTCTATTTCGTTGTGGAATCGCCCACTGGGAGACTCCCATGTCCATCATTTAGATTCTGCCTTCTGGAACTGTGTGTTACCATGAATGGTCTTGGTCGACATAATGAACTCAGACAGTCTCTCACCCTGTTCATTCCATTCTAGGCCATGGGTCCCGATGTGAAGTTCTTCAGCTGATCTTCTCAGTCCTATCTTGGCATTAAAATCACCCACAATGATCTTGTAGAAGGTGTGGTCTTCTTTATAGAACTTCTCTAGCTCCATGTAGAACTTTTCAATTTCTCTTTCATCATAATGAGATGTTGGTGTGTACACAACGAAGATAGAAACTGCAGGCAGTGAGTCACATCTATTCAAATGTAAACATTTACATTTGGATATAGTTTTAAAAAAACTAAATGGAATGAATGCTTCACCAAGAATACTTTATCCAGCTAGATTCTCACTGAAACTTGAAGGAAAGATACACTGTTTCATGGGTACACACCTCAGAAACTTAGTAGACTCAAGACTAAATTTAAAAGGACTAAAGGAACCACTGTATGACAAGAAAAAACCCTTTAAGCACAACAAACCCTTACAGAAAGATGGTGCAAAACACCATAACAAGAATCTCTCTCAACGTCAATGATCTAAATGCACAAATTAAATGCACCAATTAAGAGACACAGAGTGGCAAAGTAGATTTAGAAACTGAAACCAAAATTCTGCTGCCTACGAGAAACACATCTGAACAGTAAGAGCAAACACAGACTCAAAGTCAAAGAATGGAAAACAATCCTACAAGCAAACAACCCTCTCAAAAAAGCTGGGGTGGCCTTACTAGTATCTGACAACATAGATTTCAGTCTGAAAAAGATTAGACAGGAGAGTGAAGGCTGTTTTTTGCTAATCAAAGGATACATAAAGCATGAAGAAATCACTCTCCTAAAGGTATATACAACCAATGAGGGACCAGCTAAATACGTAAAACAACAGCTAACAAATTTTAAGGAGGACATTGTTAGCAGCAAAATACTAGTTGGAGACTTCAATACAGCCTTATCACCTCTTGATAGATCAACAAGGTTAAAATCAAGCAAGAAAACACTGACTCTGAAGGAAGAAATAGGATAGAGGGTTAATAGATCTATACAAGGATTTACATACCCCCTCCAAAAGAATACCCGTATTTTTTTCCAGTGCACATGAAACATTTTCCAAAATAGATCATGTGATGGACCACAAAATATACCTCAGTAGAATCAGGAAGATAGAAATTGTGTCAACCATCTTTTCAGATCATGATGCACTGTAGATAGAAGTTAACCATGCATAGACTAAGAGAACCAAATCAAATCAAACACCTGGAAATTAAATAACTCAATATTGACCAATGAGTAGGTCAGGGAGGAAATCAAGGAAGAAATCAAAAAGTACCTGGAAACAAATTAGAATGAAGACAGCAGCTACCAGAACCTGTGGGATGAAACTAAAACTGTGTTAAGGGGGAAAATTTATAGCTCTACAAGTATTTCTCAGGAAGGAAGAAAGGACCTACATAAATCACCTGACTTCCAGCTCATGACATTAGTAAAGGACCAACAAAAGGATCCCAAACCAGGCAGAAGGAAGGAAATAATAAAACTTAAAGCAGAAATCAATGACATGGAAACCAGAAAAAAATCCAAAAGATTACTGAAGCCAAAAATTGGTTCCTTTAGAAAATAAATAAATAAGATCAATAAACCGCTAGCAAGACTCACAAAGAAAGAGAGAGAGAGAACCCTAATAAATAGAATCACAAATGAAAAGGGGGACATCACAAAAAAAACCAAAGAAACTCAAAAGATCATCGGAGACTACTTTGAAAGTCAGTATGGCTCGAGACAAGAAAATCTAGAAGAAATGGATAAATTCCTGAATTCCTATATCCACCCAAGATTTAACCAAGATGATTTGGGATACCTGAATAGACCTATTATTATCAAGGAAATTGAAACTGTAATCAAAAATCTTCCCAGAAACAAAAATCCAGGTCCAGAGGCATTCACCAGCAAATTCTTCTAAACATTCAAAGAGGTCCTATTGCCAGTTCTTTTCAAGCCTTTCCAGGAAATTGAGGAAACAGATACACCCCAAGTAGTTTCTGTGAGGCATATATCACCCTAATATCAAAAGCAAACAGAGACAACACAAAAAAAAGAAAATTACAGGCGATATCTCTGATGAACATGAATGCAAAGATCCTCAACAAAATATCAGCTAATAGAATCCAACAACTCATCAAAAAGATCATACACCACGACCAAGTGGGATTCATCTGGGAATGCAAGGATGGTTTAACATTTGGAACTTAATAAACATAATCCAATATATCGCAAAAGAAAAGATAAAAACCAGATGATCATATCAATAGATGCAGAGAAAGCATCTGACAAGTTCCTACACCCTTTTATGATGAAAAAAATCTCACCAAAATGCATATAGAAGGGACCTTTCTCAATATAGTCAATATAGTCAAAGCCATCTACCACAAGTCTATAGCAAGTGTTATCCTCAGTGGGGAAAAGCTTTACTTTTACTTTTAGTTCTATTAAAAAAAAATGGAGTAGAGTACATCAGAGGAATGAATGCAAGATGTTCAGTGTATGAATAATTGTTTTGTTTTGTTTTAGGTTTCAGGTCAGAGGAACTGGGGAATGTGCCTACTTGAATGACAATGGTGTGAGCAATGGCAGAATTTACTCAGACAAAAATGGATTTGTAGCAAACCGAAATGGCAAATTGCTCCGCCTGGCAAATGCTTCTAACTCATGAGCAGAAAAGCTGCATTGTTCTTGTTATCTACAGTTGCTGAATGTTTTTCTAAAAGTGTTGACCTAAAAATGTGTAATATCAGTTGACAGCAAAGATGAAACTGAGTGAGAGAGGGAAGGGAGACTTCCCCTACCAAAATAAAACAGAGGTTTGGGATAACATGTTTCTATATTAAATAAACCTTTGAGTAGGAGTTAAAACTTGTAACTTGAACCCAGAGAAAAAATCAGTATCACTAACTCCACTTCTATATTACACATAAAATTTCTCCACATAGACTGTCATTTTCCTTATAAACACTGGGCATAAAAATGACTGTTTGTTAAAAACCAGACAAAATCTTTTTAACAACCCATGAGTAAAATCTAAGTGACTTTGAATTAAAAATTTGTTGATACAGTGAGAATTCTTCTACTGTCTGCTACAAATGTAGGAAGATATTTTAAAAGTAGTATTCTAAAGCAGTATTCTTATCTAGTTATTAAGTAATTTATACACTTTAGCATTTTCACATTGAGTAAACATACAGAGTATCACCATTCCTTTGTTGAAGAGCTACTTGGAGCAGTAGAGCATATGCCTAGAATGCTTGAGACCCTGAGTTTGATGCCCTCTCCCTGACACCCATCGCTCAGCTCTGGTTGACCTCAGTGCAGCTGATGATCCCACTGGCTCAGCCTCATACCAAGTTGTGAGACCCAAATTTAGGGCTGAGAGTAACTGGGAGTGTCTACCTCATATCCCAGAACTGCTGGGGGCGGTCCTTATAATAATATATAACTAAATAATTAAATACTGGAGTGATAGCACAGCGGGTAGGGCGTCTGCCTTGCACGCAGCCAACATGGCTGACCCGAGTTCGATTCCTCCGCCCCTCTCGGAGAGCCCGGCAAGCTACCGAGAGTATTCGATATGCCAGACACAGTAACAACAAAGTCTCCAATGGAGACGTTACTGGGCCCGCTCGAGCAAATCGATGATCAACGGGAGGGTCTTTAGGAAATACAAAATCTACCATGTTTAAATTAAACTTCCACTTTTATGACAGATTGAAGTGGTGAGACTCTTTTAGGCAATTGACATCCAAGCAGACATGTTTATATGCTTTGGGGTTTATAAACAATAATGCTTTCGATAATGGGTTGTTCAGCTACACTGTACTGACGAGTCCCAAATAAGAGGAAATAACAATACACAATGTTTTCTGTCTCATTGACATGTACAAAAAACAGAAAAATAATTTAAAAAATTGTAAATTATTTTTAAATATAATTGTATACATTAAAATATAAGCCATTTTGTTTTTAAGTTTTGTACATCTGGATGTACTAAATGAAATAAATATTATCAGTAATAACCTTATTTAATCCTACAAATTTTTAACATTTTTGCCTTACAATCCATTTTCTAACAGTGTCTTCCTCACAGTGGAGTCTAGTTCTGTGTCACAGGAAAGATGATATCTCAAACATGGGCGTGAAACTGATGGCCCAGAAAACCAGAGGGAAAAGCTGCCCGTGTTCTCCAGAGTAAATGGAGGCAGGCACGAAAACTTACTAACAAAGTAATTTTTACATTTAGCATTTTTGCTTGGAATAAACATACATGGTATGATCATTCTTGGGCTGAAGAGCTATTTTTGAGCAGTAGAGCACATGCCTAACATGCTCGAGGCCTGAGTTTGATGTCCCCCACCCCACCCCCCCCCTTGAATATCCAGGTGATCCTCAGCACAGCTGATTTGATTCCCTTGGCTCAGGCCTAACACCAACTTCTCAGACCCAAATTCAGGTCTGAGAATAAATGGGAACGTCAACCTCATACTTCCACAACTTTGGGGGGTGACACTCATAATAATGTATATCTAAATTATAAAGACATCAGTAAATAAAAATCTATTATTTTTTAATTTAAATTTCCACTTTTATTCCAGATTAAAGTTGCTACTGAGACTTGGGCAATCAATATTCAAACAGAGTTGTTTATATACTTTGAGGTTTTACAAATCATAATGTTTTAGATTATAGTTCGGCTACACTGTACTGATGAGTCTCAAATAGGACAAAATAACAACACACAATCCACCTTTTTCTCGTTTGTATATTGAAAAAAGTTCATAAAAGAAGTTGTTAATTCCCTTCAAACCATTATAATTGTATATTGGTTTGAAGGGAATTAACTATTTATAAATTATAAAATTACATTGGCTATTTAATTTTGTACACACATGTGGAGCATGGTGATGGGCTCTGTAGGAGATAAGACCCGACCTTGTGAAGCTGCCTAGAAGTGAGGCCCTGAGGAAGGAAGTATCTGGGTGAAGTTGGCAAGCACAGGGTGTCAGCATCAGGTGCTATGCCTTGAGTCTCACTGGACCTCTGAGTCACGAATGACCCCAAGACACAGAAACTATCATTCATGTACAATTAGCAAATCATCCTAACTGCGGCATCTAGCCTTGACTGGGATTAGACCAGGGCAAAGCAGAGAAGAAAAGGAGATAGGCCAATAATCTTTAACTTTACTGATTGGACCTTCCTGTCCTTAACTTTACTGATTGGACCTTCCTGTAAGCTGAGGGCCTCTAAAATGTGTGTATTTGGCAATAAGGTGAACAGTCATCAGCTGCTCCCAGAGGGTGTTTCTCCATACGCACGTCATCCTTTGCTCCACATCTGCCCGGACCTGGTGCACAATGTGACAGGGCACCTTGGGGAAAATCTATTCCCCAACACACACAAAATGTATCAAAATGATTAAATATTATCACTAATAACATTATTTAATCGTAATGCTCTTTAGCACTTTGCATTATGATCCATTTTATCTCCATTTTCTAAGAAGCAGGGTCTGCCTCCCAGAGTCCTTGGAGTCTAGCACTGTGTCTCTCATTGCAAAATCTGGGGATACGTTTGTTAAGGGGAAGAAAGAAAGAGAAACTGGTGTGATGTCGGTCTTTGCAGTCAATTTTCCTCACAGTATTGTGCAGGGTCAATAAGAGAAGTTTAGTCTTTCTCCTGAACCAGTTTCAGAAGTTTTCCAATGACAATGGTTTTACCCTTGTCTCTTAAGGTGAACTGACTCCTGTGAGGGAAGTCCTTGAAAGTCTCATTTGCAGATGGTTCCAGTCATCTGCAAATAGACAATGCATACTTGATCTTGTTTCATGAAACGGTGTCAAATCTTGCTATTTTCTCTGGACTTTTTGCCTACCACAAAATTAAGTCTGCTATCTTGTCTTCCTCAATACAAGTATGGATGTGAAGCATCACATTACAGCCTGGGAAAATGATGAATTTGTGCTCTATGATCACTATCTGTACATCAAAGCCAGCTAGGAGTACACCCTGAACACAACCAGATGTAGCCTAAATCCCAATAAAAAATTGTTTTTTGAAAAGCAGAAGGGAAAGGAACTCCTTTGCCAGGAAGAAACAACACAGGGCATTGCTAAGTTTGGCTCATTGGTGGTAGTGGTGGTGGTGGGGAGAGGGGTAGAGGAAAATTTAATTATTGTATTTCTCATCAGTTTCTCTGATATTCCTCTGTCACTGACATGGCTATAACAAAATATCAGAGAGATTGACTTCAATGTTTTTCATAAAAATGCCTTACTAATTTCGGATCTTTTTCATGAACTTAGGATACAATGAACAGTCATCTGTTCTCAGGCACTCACGTTTTTCCCAAATTTTGGCCATTGTGAACAGTGCAGCAATGAACATAGAAGTGCAGATGTCATTTTGACTATACTTTTTTGCCTCTCCGGGATGTATTCCCAGGAGTGGTATTGCTGGATCTTGAGGAGAACTGGCAATAAGTCTTCTTTGAATGTTTGGAAGAATTCACTAGTGAATCTATCGTTACCTGGGCTTTTGTTTTTGAGAAGACTTTTGGAAACAAATAAGAATGAAAACACGAGCTAACAGAACCTACGAGACATAGCTAAAGCCGTTTTAAGAGGAAAATGTATAGCTTTGCAAGCATTCCTAAGGTAGAAAGAAAGGGCTTACATAGATAACCTGACCTCACTGCTCTATATGTTAGAAAAAGACCAACAAAAGGAATCCAAATTTGGCCGAAGGAAAGAAATAAGAAACCTTCTGTCACTGTCACTGTCCTCCCTTTGTTCATCAATTTTCACGAGCGGGCCCTGTAACGTCTCCATTGTGAGACTTTGTTGTTACTGTGTTTGGCATATCGAATACGTCACGGGGAGCAGAAATTAATGACATGGACACCCAAGAAACAATTCGAAAGGTCAATGAAGCCAAGAGCTGTTTCTTCGAGAAAATCAACAAGATCAATAAACCACTAGCAAGACTCACAAAGAAAGAGAGACAAAACCCTAATAAACTGAATCCAAATGAAAAAGGGGACATCAGAACAGAAATCAATGAAATTCAAAAGATCATCTGAGACTACTTTGAGAATCTGTATGCCACATAACAAGAAAACAAAGAAGAAATGGATAAATTTATGGATTCCTATAATCTCCCAAGATTGAACCAGAAGACTTGGAATACTTGAATAGACCCATTCATATCAAGGAAATTGAAACTGTAATCAAAATTCTGGTTCATTTTTAATGATACTATCAGACAGATTATTCTAGTGAAAATTTGAACAGATTACTCTTGTACACTGAATCTTCTAAATGACCCTTCTTTACTGTCGAATTATGTAACTCTAAATCCTTTAGGTCTTGCAGGCCGCACAATATAATTATTTTGGTTTCCTTTCCATCTTTTCTCACTCATTTTCTTCTAAACCCCAAGGGGGAAAAGTGACTGCCATCAATAAACAAAAATTTCTTGGTAATCTACAACATTTTAACTTGTAGAAAGTTCCCAGAAGTCACAACTTCTTAAACCACGGGTAACAGAGGAACTCCACAGTGATGTAGGCAAGTAGACAGGGAATGGCCGATGACGATGGAATTCTTAGGATGAAATAAAAGCACCTAGCTAAGGCCATCAGGGCCCACCTTGTGATCACAG